AGGCCCTTTTAAATATAGAGCAGCACCGGGAAGGAGGGACACGGGGAGAGAGACGGAGGGAGGGAGGGAGGGATGCAGAGGGAGGAGGAAGATAAGGAGAAGAAGGTAACAAAGAGAGGGAAAAGAGGGAGAAAAGAGAGGGGGAGAGACGGCTACAGTAAGACTCACAGACCCTCCTCTACCTCCGGTCTCCAAGCAACCGTTGCCCCTGACAGCGAGGACGGATTCAGTCCTGAACATGAGTAATGACACTGTGCCAGACCTGGTTCCTATTTTCTGGGTGGGTGCACACCGAGAACAGGTGGGAATCATTAGAGAAGTTCTCCGAGCTCCAAATACTGAAGACAGACACGCACAAAAACCCGGGTTCGAGTGGATCCAAGAACTAAACTCTGTTTTATAAACCATAGAAATATAGAAATATTAACATCAGACAGGGTTTCATGGATAAAGAGGAGGAACTGTGGAACTAGAGCGTCGATAACATGAAACTGTCAGTTTGTCATCCTCGTCATTTAAAGGATCCTGTTCAGACTACAGGAGGTCCAGGGTTTAGACCTGGTTTAGACTTAGACTAAACTATATCCATCCCTTGGGATGACTCCCGCAGGAAATTTGGGAAAAAGCAGGAAATTCGAGTCTCTGGGTTTAGTCTTCCTCTCTGGTGGACACAGGACTCTGCTGTGGGAGCTTCATCAGAACCAGTGGACCTCTTTCACCGACATCTTTAAGGGATACTTCGGTGTAAAATTAATTCAGGTCTGAGGAGCCATAAACAAACCTCAACCAAAACGCCACTCTATAGCCACAAATAATGCTCAGAACAGCACCATTACGGACTACAGCGGGGTGCCGCAGCTCAAGGAAGAACATTTATGATCATTTCTTCATGGAAATACAATCAGACCGAGACGCTACGACAGAAGAACTACCGCGTCTGTAAAATGATTAATATGGTGATTATTACTTCAAGGAAATGATAAAGAAATGATCATAAATGTTCTTCCTTGAGCTGCGTCACCCCACTGTAGTCCGTAATGGACTGGTCTGAGGTCTCGCTACAAACAAGCGTCTGCTGGAAGAGAGTAGGTGAGTTGTGTTTAGTCTCTTTGCTAAAGGAATGAGTCAAAGTTAAAAAGATGTTTGGTGTCTAGTACTATGTCTGGGACCCTATATGTACTAACCTCGGTAGAACATGGTGTAGTTCCGTTCAGTAACAGAACCTCATTGGAAAATTAGCTGATTTAACTTTACTGCGCTCTTGTTCAAATATATTAACTCGACAGCACATAAATCCATACCTGTTAACAAAATCATGATTTTATTGATAATTCGGCTCAATAAAAACACCTTTACCTTTTCATTTTACTACAGTAGAAGTTTATTGGCCCAGCTTATAGACTACAGAGGTGGAGAAACGCCCCCGCTTAAGTTTATATTTTCTTAGGAGTTAGAACAACTCTGAATATAGTACTATGTCTGTGACCCTATATGTCCTGTTGATGAAGTTAGGTGCTGTTCTGAGCATTATTTGTGGCTATAGAGTGGCGTTTTGGTTGGGGGCGTGGCTCTCTGTATTACTATCCTGCGGTCGTTACTAAAGTTGGTAAAACTAGAGAAGCAAGCGGTCGACAACACTCATCTCTGGAGGGGGGGGTCTAACTCAGTGTTTGATCCTAAACGAATTTTACACCGGAATATTCCTTTAATGTTTGGTCCCTCTGACCCAGCGTGAACATCACATCCTATTACAAAGCGTTTATTTGACGTGCTCGACCCTACAGCTGACTCCCTGTCCTCAAAGTCCATCCTCCTGTCTTCACTCAGAGGTCCGTTTGTCTGTGAACATGATCCGGTTCAGCTCAGAAGGTCTGGTCCAGTCTTGGTCCAGCAGTACTCACCCAGTAGAGCAGTTCGGTCCAGCCCTCCATGGTGATACACTGGAAGACGGTGAGGATGGCGAACAGGATGTTGTCGAACTGGGTGATCCCATAGTTCGGTCCCAGCCAGTACTCTCGACACATGGTTCCCTGTGGACACAACCGAGACGGCGGCTCCGTCCCACACGGGAACTCTTCTCGGATCTCACCTGGAAACAGGAAGAGGGAGAAGCAGACAACGCTAATTAAAGGTCGTTTTTCCTTATTATCAGGAAACATAAACACAGAGTAACACAGCCGTGCGTCTGTACCTGTGTGATTGTCGAAACACGTGGAGTGAAATTTTCCCATGTAGAACTCCAGGCCGATGATGGCGAACATGAGGATGGCGAAGAAAAGAAGCAGGCCGATCTGGAGCAGGGGGATCATGGCCTTCATGATGGATTTGAGCACCACCTGTAAGCCTGAAACACACAGTCATGATAAACCCGCTGAAGGTGGAGGTCGACGTAACGCCGCCTGATAGTCACGTTTAATACAGTCACTGTAAAAACGCTCCAAACGTCACATGACCTCCAATATTTCAGGAAGGAAACTTTGTTTTTCTGAGAGGCTGAGGGACTTTAGTGATGAGTAAGCTCGGTTTGCCTCTCCAGCTCTGGAGTGTCGTCCGTTCTATTAATATCCCTGCAGTGGAGCTGGAGCACTGCGGACATTTAAGGGTTAAAAAAGGAGCAGAGAGCAGAAGAAGAACCACACACAGAAACCACCACGGCTCAAACTGCTCCGCCATGATACTCCCATCATCCTCCAGGAGTAACTAAGACTACAACAAGAGGAATCAGACATGACAGTGAGTGCAGAGGTCACCCGCTCCTCCATGTAAACAGATGAGACATGATTAAAACTCTAAAATCAAACTCAGGTCAAATAAACGATCATCAAACTCGTTTCCCGTCATTAACGATGGTTCTGATCATGGCGGTTTGTTGGTGTGTGCTCTCCTGAGAGGTAAAAAATCTATCAGAGATTATTTTTATAATTCAGTTTTTTAATTCGTCTCTTTCTCTGAATCAGACTTCTCTCCTTGTCCTCGTAAACATGCAGCTGAGAAAATCGAATTATTGACGTGAACGTGTCCTCCTCCCCAACACTAGGGGGCGATATGAGTCTTTTCAGCAACTGGACTTACTTGGGACGTTTCGCGTCCCAAAGTAAGTCCAGTTGTCCTTTCAACGAAGAATTAGAAATCATAGATGCTTCATCCTCAGTTTTAAACAATATCTCCAGATTTAGGAGCAACATCTGCGTCCATCCAGACAAAGACTTCTTCTTATGATCCCAAACCAGATTCTGACAACAGCATGGCTCTGTAGGAGAAGAGTCCTGGACTGATGCGGTCCTGAGGTCTACGCCGGTTACATGGTAGAGAAAATCGAACTCAAATCGCATTATCTGGGTGTCTTTTTCAGAGTTCTCCAACTCTGATTATAGTCGGACTAAGGTGTTTACATGACCTTCAGTTGTCCGGTCTTAATCGGAATAAGGCGATAATTCGGTTTTCTGGGGTGTCATGGAAACGGACTGAGCGATGATTCCAGTTTAACACGCAGGAGGAGTGGGCTTAAAGAGTAAAGGGCGGAGCTGTCAGCTGATAGGGGCCGGGTTAGGACCAGCTCATGTGCTGTGGGTGGAGTCTCACTTGGTGGCCTGCCTGAACTAGCACCATTCTCCCAGTTCAGAGGAGTCAGGATCCGTCTTTATTCACAGAGTCTTAACGATGAGAGGAGAAGAGGTTACTTACTGGGAATACCGGACACCAGTTTGAGGGGCCGCAACACTCGTACAGCCCTGAGGGTCCGCAGGTCGAACTCTGAGCCGACAGTAGACAGGATCCTAAAGGGGAAGAGACACGTGCACAGGAGCGTGCACACACAATCAATACCTAAGCCAATCAAGCTTGTATCTGTCTGTCAACCTCTCTTACCCCCCCCCAGACCCACACTTTTACACACACACACACACACACACACACACACACACACACATACTTAAACACAGAGCAGTGTCAGGTCATGGGGAGGGGGGGCGTCTGTCTGTATGTAAATCCTGTAAGAGGCGAACTGATCGATCGAGATGACAAGTGAAGAATGATGGAGAGAGTTTCAAGATGAGAGAAGGAGGAGAGAGAGAGAGAGAGGGAGAGAGGGAGGAGAGAGAGAGAGCGAGAGAGCTGGCAGAAGCGCTGACTGGATTATTTCCGCCTATTTTCATTCTCGATACGTTTGAGATGTTTCACTTCGAGCTGTCGCAGACCGCAGAGTAAACGTGGCGCCGTGGCGTTCCAGCACCTGAATCAACACTCGCCATCTGAATATAGATCGTAAATATTGTGTGTGTGTGCGTGTGTGTGTGAGAGAGAGTGTGTGTTTGAGTAAAAGTGTGTACTCAGGAGGGTTAAGATGTCCCCTCCTGCTGCCAGATTTCCAGTCAGTCCCTTCGTCTGACGCACACAGTGAATCATCCTCTCTCTCTCTCTCTCTCTCTCTCTGACACATTTTCACTCTGTTCTGCTAAGAGGCCCAGTGACACAGCAGCAGCAGCAGCAGCAGAGCCTTAATCACAGGTTTGAAGTCAGCCGGTAAAAACGGTCAGGAAGGGAACGGGAACGCCGGCCCGGAGGAGGGGGAGGAGGAGGTTCTGGATCACGTTTCCAGGAAGCCCCCGCTGGTGATGGTCAGGGTCCTTGTAATGACATTGTACCGTATCAGATGCCCGATCAGTTGCTGACTTGAAACCGAGAAGCTCTTGGTTTGGTCACATGACTGAACGGATAAGTGAGTCCGTTCATCATCAGGGTTTTTTCAGATGTGTAAAAGTCAAACTCAAACTGGACGTGAACATAATTTCATTCCGATTATATTCCTGTCGTGTTCGTCTGCACATGCTCAGTGTCTGGACTAATCATCATGGTGATGTTGATCATCTACACCTCCTAAAGCGACAGCAGAACGAAGGTTTAGAAGTTTATTTAATATTTACGACTCGAGGTTAGATGGGCTCTGACTACTTCCTGGAGCTTCTTCTGAGAACTTTAAAACAGTCCGGTCAGTTCAGTAACACACACCTGTACAAAGTTAGCCTTATGGAGGTGGATCACATGATCGACCTTAAGAGTGAATACAGGTGAGACACAGGTACGACATGGTGTTTTTTTATGGTGACAGTCAGCTGACGGCCGTGGTTATCCTCTGTGTTTGTTTGCTGACATGTTGAAGTTTAGGAGAGATCTGGTGTCTTAAGTGTCTTTACCGCTGATGCTAACGGAGCGGTCCAACAGATCCGTCAAAAGACATGAGAGACGTGGTTTAGTGAGCAGAACCGGCAGAACTGACTGTGTAAAGACTGTGTGTGACACTGATGGTGATGATGATGATGACAAGGGAAGAGATGATGATGAAGATTAAGATGAGGATGATAATGAAGATGAAGGTAATAATAAAAGTGATGAAGATGATTATAGTGAAAGAGAGGATGATAGTGATGAAGATGCTGATGATGATGATAATGATGATGACGATGATGATGATGATGATGATGATGATGACGATGATGATAATAAAGATGATGAAGATGATGATGATAAAGATGAAGATGATGATGATGATGATGATGATGATAAAGATGACGATGATGATGATGATGACAATGATGATAATAAAGATGATGAAGATGATGATGATAGTGATGATGATGAAGAAGATGATGATGACAACGATGACGGCAATGATGATGATGAAGATGATGTTAACGATGATGATGATGATAGTGATGATGATGATGAAGAAGATGATGATAAAGATGACGATGATGATGATGAAGATGAAGGTAATAATAAAAGTGATGAAGATGATTATAGTGAAAGAGAGGATGATAGTGATGAAGATGCTGATGATGATGATGATGATGATGATGATGAAGATGATGAAAATAAAGATGATGAAGATGATGATGACAACGATGACGATGATGATGATGATGAAGATGTTAACAATGATGTTGATGATGAAGATGATGATAATAAAGATGATGAAGATGATGAAGATGATGATGACAACGATGACGATGATGATGATGATGAAGATGATGATTGTGATGATGATGATGATGATGATGATGATGATGATAATAAAGATGATGAAGATGATAATAAAGATGATGAAGATGATGATGACAACGCTGACGACGATGATGATGATGAAGATGAAATGTAAGTGTCTAAACAGCGTCCCCCCTCTCTCCTCTGTTACAAACTAGTGTCAGGCCGATGAGGCAGTTCCTCATTCACACCGTCTCCACGGTTACTGGGCCCTTTCTCATTCATAAGTGTTTCCATGGCAACAGGGACCTTGGCTCATTGATAGAATCTCTGTATCACCTTGGCAACAGGGCCAAGGGAGGAGCCTGATTGATTTGTTTTTTTTTCTTTCTTCTTCTCTCTTTTTCTCTTTTAACTAAATGATGGCGCAACACACACACACACACACACACACACACACACACACACACACACGGATGCATGGATTACAAAAGCACACACACACACACACACACATACACACACACGTCTGCAGAGCAAACAGGCGCTGTTTGGAGATCAAACATATTGAGTGGGAATAATTTTATTCTTCTATTCTGATTGGAAAGTAGGTCATTTGAGCGACCAATAAGAAGCCGTTTCCTCCGCATCAAAGACAGATGTGCCGCCTGTATACAGAGGGATACACACACCAACACACAGCTGCAAATACACACCAGCACACAGATACAAACACACACCAACACCAACACACAGCTGCACAGTATGAAGACGGAGGATCAGAGGAAGGATGATGGTTTTCACCGACTCTCCACATGAGTGAGACTCTAACATGTTACACTAAAACTGTCTTTCTGCTCTCTCTGTCTCTCTCTCTCTGTCTCTCTCTCTCTCTCTCTCTCTCTCTCTCTCTCTCTCTCCTGTTTTTTCTGCTGACTTCAGCTGAATGTGACTAATTATCTCTGTCCACATCACTGACCAAATCGCTTCATCTCTCCCCCCAAACTCCGCCCTTATCTCTGCTCGTCCCCCTGCTGTCCTCTCTCCCCGTGATTTAATGATTTCATTAATGCGTTCATGTGCACAATAACACTATAATTATAACAGACCCTCATATTAGGGAGTTAAAAGAAGGCTGAGAAAGCTCCACTGGGTGAGTCTGCAGCGTGACTCTCTAACCCCCAATTTCCACCGCATCCAGAATTTTCACCATCCGCCAATTCCTACCGTTGGTGAGGTGAATTTCGTGGCGGATTACGGACAGCAATAATCGTGAGAAACCTGTGCGCCCCGACCCACTATCATTTTCTCACAGGTGTTATTAGACTCAGTTCTCATCTCCTGTTCGCTTTCAACCTTCATGTACCGGACGTATCCAAACAACCTCAACGAGAAGAGGAAGAAGGAGCCGAGCGCGCCAAGAACAGCTGTAAACTAAGAGTAATTGGACTAGTAATCAATAGCAGGCATAAAAAACAACTAGCTTATTCCCAGGGCCAAATCACTCACGCAATTTACTACAAGAGACAGGTCAACGCACACACACACACACACACACACACACACGATCGCTGACATCCAGCGAAGGTGGCGGAGGGAACGGCTAATCCATTCAGACATGCTAAGAGCCGTTTGTGTGTTTGTCCGTGTGTGTGTGTGTGTGTGCGGCTAAAGTGAGGCGCTGAGGAGGAAATGGACAGGAAGGTTTGAAGTGGAAATGTGTGTGTGTGTGTGTGTGTGTGTGTGTGTGTGTGTGTGTGCGGTCAGTGTGTTATATCAAAGGTTTGGAGCAGAGGTGGACAGAAAGGCCAAGTATCCTTTCATCTACAAAGAGCTGCACGGCTAAAAACAACCTCTATTCATACAGAGACCAACAAAGAGTGTGTGTGTGTGTGTGTGTGTGTGTGTGTGTGTGTGTAAAATGTATTGACTTGGTCAGTGTACATTATGTATCTCGGGAATATACCGCGCTGTAAGTGCTGCAGAGTATTATCCGCCCGTAGATCTGACTGAAGCTTCCTGACGACACAGCAGCTGTTCGCCTCGACGTGAATCCGAACTCTTTAAACGGTTTATTGTTATCGTCTCAAGTGTGACGTAAAAGTGTGTTTAAAAGGTGTGTGTAACCTTGTTCAGCTGTTTCAGCAATGGACGCATTCCGTTCACATTAGATGCCTCATTTGTTGCTGTAATGTGAACGACCGCATAAAAAGATCCGACTTAACAAGAAATCCGAATTGTGCATCAGAACCTGCAGCGTGAACATGGCCGAGAACCGCTACTGCAGCAAATAAAAGAGAAACAGTGCAGATTACAAAAGAAGCCACAATGGAAGTTCGCTGTCTAGGCACAGACGATGACGGCGAAAAGACGAGCAAAGAAGAACCGTACTTTTCACACTATAAGGCTTACTTAAAATCCTTTTGGTTTGTCGGCGCGCTGTAGCTACTGTAACCTCGCTGAGTTAAGTTTGACTTATCCGACTGTTTTGTTCGGCTTAATGCGCTTTATAATCCGGTGCGCCTTATGTATGAAAATAGACGCGTTCATTGATGGTGTGCCTTATAATCAGGTATGCCTTATAGTGCGAAAACTACGGTAAGTGGGAAGGTTATTGTTTAATTTCGCTTTGTAAACTTTTTAATGCGTCATTTGGTTCGACCATGTAGAGCCTGAGTCGTTTGAAGGACTGTCTCTCCTCCTCCTGCTCCTGTCTCTCCTCCTGCTGCTCCTGTCTCTCTCCTCCTGCTCCTGTTTCTCCTCCTGCTCCTGTCTCTCCTCCTGTCTCCTTCCTCGTCTCTCCTCGTCTCTCTTTCACTCTCCGCACTGAGATGAGCTCGACTTCATGATTGCTCTTATCAAAACATAAGGACAGACCGCCTCTCTCTCTCTCTCTTTCTCTCTCTCTCCCTCTCTCTCCCTCTCTCTCTCTCTCTCTCTCTCTCTGTTTAAGTGTGTTAGGCAGAGAGGAGGTGGTGGGGGTGTAATCTCTTATTTCACTCGTGCTTGGTCAGCAAAGACGAAGAACAGTTTATGTAACACACCAAGCTCTCCAAATCACCACATGCCATGACCTCAGCGTGTTCGTCTGTGCCAGAGCGGTTTCACCTGACACACTTCAGTGACAGGGTTTCACCGTCCCAGAGAAACAGTCAGAAAAACAGTCAGACAGTCAGAAAAACAGTCAGAAAAAAGCCAGAAAAAAGTCAGAAAGACAGTCAGAAAAACAGTCAAACAAACAGTCAGACAAACCGTCAGAAAAACTGTCAAAAAAGGTTAAAAAAAACAGTCAGAAAAACAGGCAGGAAAACAGTCGGACAAAAAGGCAGAAAACAGTCAGAAAACAGTCAGAAAACAGTCAGAAAACAGTCAGACAAACAGGCAGAAAAACAGTCAGAAAACAGTCAGTAAATGGTCAGAAAACAGTCTGAAAAACAGTCAGAAAAACAGTCGGACAAAAAAGCAGAAAACAGTCAGAAAACAGTCAGACAAAGTCAGAAAACAGTCAGAAAACAGTCGGAAAAACAGGCAGAAAAACAGTCGGAAAAACAGTTGGACAAACAGGCAGAAAACAGGCAGAAAAACAGGCAGAAAAACAGTTGGACAAACAGGCAGAAAACAGTCTGACAAAGTCAGAAAACAGTCAGAAAAACAGTCAGAAAATGTTCAGAAAACAGTCAGTAAAACAGTCAAAAACAGTCAGAAAAACAGTAAGAAAACTATCAGAAACGGTTAAAAAACAGTCGGAAAGACAGTCAGAAAAACAGTTAATAACAGTCAGAAAATGGTCAGAAAACAGTCAGAAAAACAGTCAGAAAATCAGTCAGAAAACAGTCAAAAATAATTGGCGGATGGCGAAAATCACCACCGTTCTGGATCAGAGCTGTTTCAGGTGCGGTGGAAATCCTGGGTAAGTGTGCTTCTGAATTTAGTCGGTATTCTCCGACTTCAATCAGAGTTCTTAAACTCTGAATATCGTCAGACTAAGGTGTTTACATGTACTAAACCGGTTCTTCATCAGAGTAAGGCGATAATTCTTTTCTTCTTGAGTGTCATCTAAACGTCCTGAGTGACTGTTGTTCCTCCTCTCAGTGGTTTCAGTATCTACCCCTCCCCTCACTTCCATGGTTGTATCTCCACTCGCTCCCTCCTGCTCTGCTTCCTTTTCTTCCATCCTGTCTTTACCCATGTCCCTCTGCGCCCCCCCACCTCGTCTATCTCTGTGTATGTTGTGGTGACATTTGTTGGCGGCCCAGGCTGCCGGCTGCCTGCAGCTCTGCTCTGTGATCCGACTGCTGCCAGCTCGACATGAAGCTGTTCATTAGAGCGAGAAGGAAGGAGAGGACGGCCATGAACACACGTGCGCAAACGCTCACTCCAGAGTCCTCCTTTCTCACTACACTCAACCCTGACTGTGCGTGCATCTTTAAGTATGTGTGTGTGTGCACGTATCCGAGTTCACGCCACTCACCCTGTGAGCACCACCACAAAGTCCATGACGTTCCACCCGTTTCTCAGGTAGGAGTTCTTGTGGAAGGCAAAACCGAGCGCCAGGATCTTTATTCCAGACTCAAAACAGAAGATTCCTATGAAGTACGGCTCCGTGTCGTCCTGAGGAGAGACAGGGAGAGAGAGAATAAACCTGCTGATCATTCACTCCCTGAGAAGGATCCATGATAAATATGGACCTTTGTTTTACTGGAGGTCAGAAATGGATCTTTGTCTCTTTAAATGAGTGTAAATGTGTCGTTCTCAAATTAAAATATTATCGATATAAAACATTGATCACAGGTTGTGGAGAGGTCAGTGTTTGCAGGTGATTTCTGAAGGTAAACTCACCAGACGCTCGGACAGCGGAGTCTTGTCTCCGTCAGGTAAATGTTGCTCCAGAGCGAGGACGATGCAGTTGGCGATGATGGTGGCGAGAATCATCCACTCAAACGGAGTGAGGAGGGTCAGTCAAGGAAAAACGTTTTTTTAAAGATCAGAAATTAAAACAAAATAACGTGAAAGATTTTCAAATACAGGCTGAATATCACAGAATAAATAAACCCAAACTTTAGTAATTTGGTTAAATACACATAAGAAATGAGAGTATCATCAGTCTAAAAGTGAAAAACTAACAAAGTACGAAGTCTTAGTGGACCCAGAACTGAACCCTGTGGCACTCCTTTATTCAGACCTCTAAGACAAACTGCTGAACTGACCGCCTGTTTTCTCTGAAACCCCGACAGCTTTAAAACAGGCTGTGGTCGATAGCATTAAAGTCAAAGTCAAAGACGGGTGATTATGATGAACCTCGTTTCCATGGCGATCATGGTCCTAAAGTGCGATCTCCACAAAGTGAAGAGGAAAAAGATAGGAAGAAATCCGTTCACCCTATCAGGTGCAGGGCTGCAAAAACATTGACCAATGGGAGCCATCCGTCACTGACGCAACTTTTTTTTCAGAGGATGGAAGGGGAAAGTCCCGCCTCCTTCACCTCTGATTGGCTAGAAAAGCTGGATACATCATCACACGGTCAAGCCAAACGCGGGCTGTCGACTCTGAACATCGGACAGAAAATTATCACAATTCTTAATCTCCTGACCCGAACCTCAACCCTCATCCTAATCCGACCGACGATGGTGTTTCACAGCCATAAGGGAGAACCAATCGGAGCCCAGCACTTCTAGCCAATCAGAGGTGAAAGAGGGCGGGATCTTCCCCTACCATCCTCGGAGCTCTGAGCGGCTAAAAGTAGCGTAGCGGCTTAGCTACAGGAGCTGTGATGGAGAAGGACGCAAAAAATAAACGCAAGCCGACAGAAGAAAGGGCGGAGTCAAAGAGGACATGTGACAGAGCGAGGAATCTAACATGAATAACCATCGGGTCATCCTTGGAGCGGTGGAGAAAACAGACGCCGAGACAGCAGAGTTTTAGTTGAACAGGTCATTTTTATCTCCTTCTATCGTGGCTCATGTTACATAAACATTATTAGTCTCTGACATGTCAACACGGTAGCTGCAGACGGCGCTTGCTAGCAGAGCTGGCGTTTACCGCCGCTAGTCACTAACAATCCGACATGGTGGATCCTATTTGAAGCTAGCGGAGCATCTTCTGCCGACCTAAAAACTCCGTCCACGTTTCAGGATTTCAGGACATTTAAAGCCAGATAAATAAAAACAGTTTGGATAAACGTTTACGCAGAAATAAAAACGCTCCACGCTCCACGCCGAGCGTTCACCAACAAACGATTATCAGGTTTCCTTCAGCAGCTGCTCAAACATCTGCGACTGAAAACTCGAGTAAAAGAGGAAAAATGTGAGCGCTGTCGAGGTTTGATTGAACCCGCTGAGTCAGACGACAAACGGACACGTCGCATTTCTCACCATCACACACAAACACACACTGACGCACACAAAGGCCCACAAGCCATCCTAATGAGTCAGTTAAATATGTTCTGCTGAGCGTATGTGCTGGTAACACACCACCCACACACTCGTACTAAACAAACACACACACACACACACACACACACACACACACACACACACACACACACACACACACACACAGATAAAGACAGCGGCTGTGTCAGAGTGTGAGTGTGTGATCTGATGTTTGGACACTGAGAGAGATTTATTGTGGCATCGCCGTTTGGCTCCATGAACACAACGTCTGAGGGCGAGTTCAGGAGGGGGGGGTCTGTGTGTACCTCTAATTGGGTTTGTCACAAATTCTCCCTGACACACACATAAACACACACATGTACACACACACACACAAACACACACAAACACACACACACTGGCGGTGTCTCCTTAAATCAATCCTCCTGTCTCGTTAAGGTCACAAGATGAATAGTTACATTTAAAGGAGGAGAGAGAGAGAGAGAGAGAGGAGTGAGAGTGAAGGAGGAGAGAGAGAGGAGGGAGGATGGTGGGGGGGGTTAAAGGAGGAGTATAGAGTCAGATCCACCTTCATAGATCACACTCTCATCCTGGTCTCTCTCTAACATGAAGCATTTTCAGGAATAACGTCATTCCACCGAGTCGGTTCTTTCACCTCTCTCTCTCTCTTTCTCTCTCTCTCTCTCTCTCTCTCTCTCTCTCTCTCTCTCTCTCTCTCGCCTCCTCCTCCTCCTCAGGGATCAGCCTGGGAAAAAAAGGGGGAGGGGCTAAATTCCACGGCAGAGCGAGGAGGCTATAAATAGAAACATACTGTACATCATAGATGTGCAGGTGTGGAACGTGTCTGATACATGAACAACAAGCTGCTGCTGCAGCTTCTGGAAGAGAGCGTGTGTGACCGGTCCGGTCCGGTCCAGTCCAGTCCAGTCCAGTCCAGTCCAGTCCGGTCCGCCTGGATGTGGTCCCAGAGGATCAGGGACGAACCTGAACCAGGATCTAAAAATCTAATATGACTTAGCCACGCCCACTTTAGTTTCCACGACAGACGCCTGTACGCTGTAACGTGTGTGTGTCAGAGTGTGTGTGTGATCATTAACATGCATACACTACAGGAACACCCAGGGCACCACTCAATTAGCCTCAGTGTGTGTGTGTGTGTGTGTGTGTGTGTGTGTGTGTGTGTGTGTGTGTGTGTGTGTGGCATTGAGAGGGCAGTGTGTCTTTGACTGAGGGGGGTGAGAGACTGATATAGAAGCTCAGGGACACAGAGGTAACCGTGTGTGTGTGTGTCTGTGTGTGTGTGTGTGTGTGTGTGTGTGTGCGTCTCCTATTCCCATGGTGACCATTTCCTCTGATGTAACGGCGTTAATGCTGTCATCACACGGCGCTGCTGCATTTAAGGTTCTGAGTAAATGTAGGAAATCTGACCGTCCTCACTCACTGATCCAGAACTCACTGATCCAGAACACAGAAAGGTTCTGGTTCCTTAGAGAACCTGGAGGAACATTTAAAGATCTGGACTCAGTCTCAGTAGACGACTCTCTCAGGTTCTTATTTTATTTTGAAAGTCTCGTCTCAGTTTCCTCTTCCTCTCTGTCAGGGTAACACCTGAGTCCTTCAAAGTTCCTCTTGTGTTTTAGTTCCTGTACTCTCCAAGAAGTTCCTCTAAATGAGGTTCTGGGAACTAAAAGACTTTAAAAGTTTACAGGAACTTTGGGAACCTTTCCAGTTTTTACTGATTCTGCACCAAAGCAGGAGTCATTAAATACAGTTATTATAAATATTTATTATATATAATTCTTAAATACAGTTGTTATATACAGTTAATAATTAAAGTTATTAATATAGTTATTATAAATATTTATTATATATAATTCTTAAATACAGTTGTTATATACAGTTAATAATTAAAGTTTTTAAATATAGTTATTATTTACAATTTTTAAATAGAGCTAATAAACATAGTTATTACATACAGTTTCTAGATTTAGTTATTATATATAATTAATATAGTTATTTTTTTACATTCATTAAATACAATTTTTATGTCTGGTAATAAATATAGTTATTATATACAGTTAATGTATAAAGTAATTTTATGTAGTTGTTTAATGCAGTTATTATATATTGTTATTTACCATAGTAAATAAATATAGTACATATAGTTATTAAATAAAGTTATTAAATATAGTTACTAAAGCACCTTTTTTACTCCTGCTGATCCTCTACGCTCACCAATATCAACACACTGGTAACAAAGAGGTCACATGCTCCACAGATTCGACCCCTCAGCCCAGCTTCTCTTTCCACTCCACAGCGCCCCCTAGTCTGGATGTTCAGGTGATGTTTCCTGAAGATAGGAGGGTTCACCGTTCAGAGTGTGATCTAGTTTTCTGAGCTGATTCTAGATCAGAGTGAAATATTTACAGAAGTTTAACGATAAAAAAAAACCTCCACTGCCGCCGCCGCCGCCGCCTCCACAAACGAACGAACAAAAATCCAGAGTGTGAATAAATGACTCACTCTGTCATCAAGCTTTCAATAATCAACCTTCCTCCTCCTCCTTTAGGGGATATATTTAGACTCATGAGTTAAGAGAGAGGAAGGGGTGAGGAGGGAGGAATCAAGGGTGAGGAGGGAGGAATCAAGGGTGAGGAGGGAGGAATCAGGGGTGAGGAATAAGGGTGAGAGAGCCTAAGTCTGTTCTCTCTCTCCAATGTTGCTGCAGATTTCTGCTTTTGTTAACCGGCTAGGTGTGTGTGTGTGTGTGTGTGTGTGTGTGTGTGTGTGTGTGTGTGTGTGTGTGAGTGTGCGTGTGTGTGTGCGTGTGTGTGTGTGTGTTTAATGGGGACAGTAGTAGGTCGTACACTGAGCTGTCTCGCCAAGAAAAAGGAAGTGAGGCCTTTAAAATACTCTACCGGAGCCAAATGACGCACAGACACAGACACACACACACACACACACACACACACACACACACACACACACACTCCTGCTGGCCTCTTCCCAACCTTGTCCATCCGGTTACACACAGCCTTCCTCCTGTCCTCCTCAGTAAAGCTCCTCCTGCTCCTCCTCCTCGCTCAGCCTCCCCTCTCTCTCTCTCTCTCTCTCTCTTTCTCTCTCTCTCTCTCTCTCTCTCCCCCCTTTCTCCCCCTCCTCTCTCATTTTCTCCCTTTTTGACTGAATCTCCGCTCCTTTCTCTACCTTCCTCTCTCTCAGTCCGTCCATCAGTCATCCCCTCCTCTATCACGCCATCGCCATTCAGCATCGGAGAGAAGATGCCGCATCAGCAAACACACGGAAACACAGACAGAGAAGGAGAGGTGATAAGGAAGGAAGGAGAGGAGGAGGAGAGGTGATAAGGAAGGAAGCAGAGAAGGAGGAGAGGTGATAAGGAAAGGAGGGGAAATATGAAGGGCGAACCGAAGGAGGAGGAAAACTGTCCTGTGAGCACAGACATGTCCGAAAAAAGAGAGAGAGGAGAGGAGTCAGGAGGAGGACGAGGGAGGAGAGAGGGAGGAGAAAGGAAGAGGAAGAGGGAGGAAGAGGGGAGTGAATGAGGGAGAAAGCGAGAGGATGACGGAGGGGTGTGAGAGTATTGCGGTATTTTCTTCTCCTGAGCGCTGTGCATGCTGCTGTGTGGAAAGTAGGTTAGTGGCAGAGTGCACACACACACACACACACACACACACACACACACACACAAGAAGGAGGAGGTAGAAAAGATGTAGAGGGTGGGTGGGAGACTATACATTATACTGTCACATTCAGTATGTGTGTGTGTGAGTGTGAGTGTGTGTGTGTGTGTGTGTGTGTGTGTGTGTGTGTGTGTGTAAGATTCAGCCCAGCCCCTCTCTCTCTCACACACACACACACACTTTCACATTTCTGCATCACCTCACCATCATATGTTATTTTGTATTTTTAGTCCTCTGCAGACGTGCACTGCATACACACACTCATGTCAAACACACGTGCACAGACCCTCACACACACACACACACACACACACACACACGTGCACAGCTCCTTTCTCAGAGATTTATCTTTTTTTGTTTTTGTGTTTTTAAAACTGTTAAAAATGGAGTCTACTTCAACTTCAGGTGATGGTGAATTGGTCATAAGAAAAACAAACACAGCACATAGTTGATCCAATATTAGAAAAAAGAAGAGAACTTGGTGAGTTTCTCTGCTCCGCTCAATTATCTCCAAGTTTGAAGAGGCAGAGGACCAGACTCTAGTGTTGAGATGTCTGTCTGTCATGATAGCATGTACTGAGTCGGGGCCAGAACCAGATAAACACATGTAACCATGGTAACAACCGTTAGCTTACGTTAGCACAGATGAAGGTTCAAACAAAGACGTTTATCAAACTGTTAAAGCTCACAAACCATCGTCAGATGAGAAATCTAACGCTATGACTCTCCACAAGTCGTCCTTCAGGTTGTTATCTGATTGGTCAGAAGTCGACACACAGAAGGACTGGGCGATTATGATTATGATCAGGATTATTGATCATGATAAATTTCAGTCCGATCACGGTGATCAGCTGTGAGCTTTTTTTACTCGATCAAACTTGGCGAAAATGTGCGTCACAACAGCCAATCAGAGTTGAGCTTTTCCTGCTCACTTCTTTAAGTTGCCGGAGAAATAAACAGAGTAACCGAAGGTGGAGCTGAGGTCAGTAAAATAGATGTCAGTCATGACTCTGAGTCATCCTCTGAAGATCTTATAGTTGAGAAGGAAAGTTATTTAACGTCTTATTTAGTATTTATTTCTTTAATTTTTTTGTTTTAAGTACAGATGCTTTAAAACTGGCAGTTAAAAAAAAAATCGTGATAATAATCAAGATCGGACGATATGACGAAGTATATCCTGATCATCTTTTTGGCCAAACTGCCTAGTCCTACCATACAGTCTGCGAAACTTTGGAAAAATCAACCGTGATCTGAAAAAATAAACGCCACAATATCGCAGGACGGGAAAACGTCGCTGATGTGAACGCTTGTGTTGACAGGATACGGGTTTGAAAAAAGATACTGACGTTCGACATAATCGCACAATAAAAACGTTCCCGGTGTGAAAGGACCTTCAGGACAGAGGAATCTACAGAAACCTCAGAGGAAATCTGGTTTGATTATATCTATGTGGACGCAAAGGAGCGCCGACAAAGACGCCGCTGAACCTCGTCCATGTTTGTTTCATACTGTCATTCAAGTGTTTGGAACACACACACACACACACACACACACACACACACACACACACACACACACACACACACACACACACACACACACACAGTAGAGTCCAGACCAGCTGCTCCACTTTGGTTCTGATCCAGCCTCCTATTAATAAATCGGAGCGTTTCAGTGACGGCCTCTCCTCTGATCTTCACTATCAGAGCGTTTCCTCTAAAATTATTTACTATAATAAACTCACACTGTTTTATTTCATCATAATAATAAAGACCTTAGTAAACATCCTTATATAACCTTATTGAATTAACCTCAGAGTGACGACGTCTCCGTGGAAACAGACCAAATATGAGGTTAAATTTGTGGATTAAAACAGATTTTCTTTCACTGTAATAAAACATAAATAAATGAAACTTGTTTTTAAAGGAGAAGAACTCTCTGAACTCCTCTAAGTTAGCGCCCCCTCCTCCCTCTCTCTCTCCCTCTCTCTCTCTCTCTCCGTCCTCTTACATTATGCAGCAGCAGAGCTCCGGCGGAGCGGCTCCCATGATTACTTCATTTTCTTGTCACTTTTCCCTCAGAAGTGCTGATTTGATCAAATGAAGGGGATAAAGCGCCGCGGTTGAATCCTATCTAATTATTTCTGATGATCAGCAGTCAGAGGAGATAAGAGACGCAGCTGAAGCTCTTCATTCTCCTCCTGCATCCTCTGATTTCATTAGAGCGCCTCTTCACATTTCTGTTGCATGGTCACTTTTTACAAAGTTTTTATCCTTTTGAAAACTCAGAGATTTTCCCCTCAAGATTATAATCTGTTCACTGGATTATCTGTTATTGATTATTGAAGATTGGTGATTTAACATTGAACCACTAATCCCAAATGTACTTCACTCAGTGTTTACAGTAAATGCTAATTTTCACAAGAAGAATCTTTTTTTTGTGGCGTATAAACAAAAAAATCTTCTAATATCAGTCAATAGTTATTAGTTATTGATTATTTGGTAATATATCGATATCTCTGTGTTCTCTTATGTCTGTGTCGTCAACATTTGAACATTTTTGAGCGGTCCGCTCTTTCTGACTGTAAACAAAGCCGTTCTCCACCTCCTCTAACCTGATTGGTTGTGAGGCAGACGCTGCTCCCCCGTGTCGTTCAGGAGCCCAAACAAAGTTAGCGTGCTACAATATCGGACAGTAGAAACCAACCAGAAAGTTCGGAAAATTGTCTGAATCCTCCTTTGGCCACGACTGCCGACACAAGCAAGAAAACACTCAAACGTAAACAGTCAACAAGAAAACAGTCAGCAAGAAAACAGTCAACACCAAACCGGTTAACAAGAAAACAGTCAACATCAAAACAGTCAACAAGAAAACAGTCAACCATAATGAGTCAACAAGAAAACAGTCAACCAAAAACAGTCAACAGGAAAATAGTCAACAAGAAAACAGTCAACCATAATCAGTCAGCAAGAAAACAGTCAACAAGAAAACAGTCAACCATAATGAGTCAACAAGAAAACAGTCAACCAAAAACAGTCAACAGGAAAATAGTCAACAAGAAAACAGTCAACCATAATCAGTCAGCAAGAAAACAGTCAACAAGAAAACAGTCAACAAGAAAACAGTCAACCATAAACAGTCAACAAGAAAACAGTCAACATCAAAGCAGTCAACAAGAAAACAGTCAACAAGAAAACAGTCAACACCAAAACAGTCAACCATAAACAGTCAACAAGAAAACAGTCAACATCAAAGCAGTCAACAAGAAAACAGTCAACAAGAAAACAGTCAACCATAAACAGTCAACAAGAAAACAGTCAACATCAAAGCAGTCAACAAGAAAACAGTCAACAAGAAAACAGTCAACACCAAAACAGTCAACCATAAACAGTCAACAAGAAAACAGTCAACATCAAAGCAGTCAACAAGAAAACAGTCAACAAGAAAACAGTCAACCATAATCAGTCAGCAAGAAAACAGTCAACAAGAAAACAGTCAACAAGAAAACAGTCAACAAGAAAACAGCCAGCAAGAAAACAGTCAACAAGAAAACAGTCAACAAGAAAACAGCCAGCAAGAAAACAGTCAGCATCAAAACAGTCAACACCAAAACAGTCAACCATAAACAGTCAACAAGAAAACAGTCAACCATAAACAGTCAACAAGAAAACAGTCAACAAGAAAACAGTCAACCATAATGAGTCAACAAGAAAACAGTCAACCATAATGAGTCAACAAGAAAACAGTCAACCATAATCAGTCAGCAAGAAAACAGTCAACAGGAAAACAGTCAATAAGAAAACAGTCAATAAGAAAACAGTCAACCATAAACAGTCAACACCAAACCAGTCAACAAGAATACTGTCAACAAGAAAATGCTGCTCCCCCGTGTCGTTCAGGAGCCCAAACAAAGTTAGCGTGCTACAAT